GTCTGTAACTGAAGGGATCCACATGCATCAAACACAAGCTCCTCAGCACATTCGCTTTCATTGAGCTGGTCACTGGCCTTGGCTTTCTATCTGCTGGCACCTGATACCTAGGTTCTGGCCTGAGCATTGGCATTCTGTTTTCCCTTGCTTGGGCTCCACACTAGCTCCTTTGCACCCTTGGAGAAACAAGGCTTCCTCGAGAAGTCTTCTCCAGCCACCTGGCTGAGAGACATCATACTGTCAGAGTTTCTGTTTGCTCTGTGAGTGCCTGTCCTTTCAGCTCACAGGCTGTAAGACATGCAAGTGCCTTGACTTTCCCCCAAGAAGACATGTACATAGGTACATGGCAGGCAAGAGGGCCTGTGTGGGTCCGAGAGAGTCTGGTCTCTGCTGGGAAGGGTGCTTTTCATCTCATTGTTTTTCCTCTCATCATGGCTGGCTGCACCAAGATCTCCTTCAGAGGACACACTGCAGGGTCAGGCTTTGGCCAGCCCAGGTCACTTCCTCCATGAGTGGGTGCTGTTATCTGGAATCAGCTTGAAGTTGGGCACTAAAGCTTGAATGCCAGCTCCTAATGGGACATGGAGGGCCAAGGGCAGGCAATCAAAGTCAGCTTCTAATGGGATATGGAGAGCCAAGGACATGCAATCAAAATCAACTTCTAATGGGACATAGAGGGCAAAGAGCATGCAATCAAAGTCAGAGCAGACACAAGCTTTTGGACACAGACCCATGCTCAGTGATGAATAGTGGATAACGAAGTCTATGACTTGCTTGGGCCAGACAGGGGCTTGGGTTAATGTGGGCCAGACCCAGATGGCTTAGCATAGCACTAGCAGAAGGGGACGATATGGTGGACACTCTCATCCATCGAGCAGCGTCCATCAGCTCAGATGGCACTTATCAGTGGACGCCTGCAAGGCCTGTTGGTCATAATGAGGGTGACAAGGGATTCTAACTTTCTACTTAGAGATATATAGGAAGTTTCTTTTGCAAATAAATTTGCATATGTAAATCAGACTGCTAAAAGAAAAACAGCACATAGCAAGTGACAAAACCTGCAGTAATCTGTGTGTTGGTGGCACACACCTTTAATCCTAGCATTTGGGAGGCAAAGGCAGGTGGATCTCTGTGAGTTCGAGACCAGCCTGGTCTACAAGAGCTAGTTCCAGGACAGGCTCCAAAGCTACACAGGGAAAAAACAAAGCAAAGCAAAACAAATCTGCAGTGACATTGCAGGGCCCAAGTGGAAAGGTTGCATGTGACAATGGGTCAGGATAGCCCAGCCATTTCTAACAGGGATGGGCCTGCTAGACATTCTGGGTAAGGGGGGGAACCAGCCCTAGCAGCTCCAAAGCAGAGAGTCACAGGAGCTAAGAGTTGGGGATACTCTTAGCTGAGCATACCCCCACACCAGTCATGGAGCCTGCAGCCTGGAGCCCAGAAGCCAGGTGTCCATCTTGACCCTGCACCTCCCAAGTCTAGGTAGGTGACCACTAAGGGCATCTAGAATTTGAAACCAGGATTCCTTCATTTACCCTGCCTGTTGAAACATGTCACTATGCTATAATAGGCAGTCCAGACACCATGCAATGCCCTTGAGTATTTTCTACATCTGTAAACAGATGGGTGGCATGGCCTTGAAAAAACTCTTCTGGGTAAGGGATCCAGAGGCAACCACCCTAAGCTTCACTTCCTGCTTTACTGAATGGGAGTCATGTGACACTGAGAAAGTCACTTTAAAATCTCAGGGTGTCTGTCCCAACTGTAAGTGAAAAGAGAGTATGACCTGGGCAGGGTAGGGCTGGCAGTACCAGGAGGGAAGCCTGGTACATAGCATCTATGGACACAGGGTGTAATGGGGATGTCCATGGATGGCTCACACGGAAGCGTTGTCCCCAGACTTTGGCACTAAACACCCAGAGCAAGTTTGTGGGCATGACTGTGAGAATTCATGCTGCTGCTGTGTTTATCTCTCTGATGGATACCTGAGAGAAACAAAGAAGGAAAAATTGGCCAGAGTCCGTGTGTCTCTTTAGGTGAGGGTGGGCGTCCCATTGGACCCTGTGTCCGTGGATGTTGTGTGGCAGGCCTCTCTCCTGGTACTGCCAGTCTGTGGCATTCTGACTCTATTTCTGGGCTGTGGTATAGATACCATGGTGGAGAGGGTGTGGCAGAGCAAAGTGCTCCCCTAATATGCTGCTGTGCCCCTCCTTGAACACTAAGGGCAGGCACTGTGTGCTCCTTGGGAGCTGGTTTGAGAAAGAGAGGTCCAGTCCCAGCTGCCACTATTCCTAACGTCCTGTGAAACGAGGACTGAGTAAGGCACTGGGATGGGAGGGACTCTGGGAAACAGGGAAGTGAGTGCTACATGGAGTCACAGGGGGAGTAGGCTTCCTCTTGTGGGGCCATAGTGACATGGAAGCTCCCTGGAGGAGTCACCTGAAATCCAGGAAACAAGAAGGTCTCTGATTCCAGGTGCCAGGAGGAGGTGGCCGACGTGGCAGTTATCACAGGCTACCATCCTTGCTGAACACAGTGTGTAAGCAGCAGACACTACAATGGCCTTGAAGGCTAGTGGAAGACCCGGGCAGGTTCTGTAGATCACGGCCCTCCATGCATAGGGGCCATTGTCATAGCCATTGGAGCAGCTGTGACCACTAGCAACAGCCCTTCTAGAGCCGCCTGTGGACCTTCCCTCATAGAAGAGGGTACGAAGAGTGATCAGACGCTCACCGGGGGTTCCAGCCGCTCCTCCATATGCCTCCCTCCCAGCTGTGTGTAATTCTGCTCAGGGTTGCACATGGTCTTGTGATCCCAGAAGGTGTCAGAGCTTATAGACTGTGGTAGGTTAAGTGGAGGGGGATTCTGTCTATGTAGCTGTGGGGAAGTCTTCATCTCTGCCGGACCAAGGCTTTTCTGTGGTGCCACTGCTTTGGAGTCTCTCTCTCTCTCTCTCTCTCTCTCTCTCTCTCCCTCTCTCTCTTCTCTCTCTCTCTCTCTCTCTCACACACACACACACACACACACCAAATTGAATTTTTGTAGGATCAAACTTTGTTCTTTCACCAAAGCACCATCTGGTGTGACAGATGTTGATTCAAATTTGTCCAAATGAAAAGTTCACGAAACAGGAGGGCAGCATAGGGCACCATTAGAAAGAGGTGAGCAGGGATCCTGCAGTGGCTTTCGCCTTTCTCAGGTAAACAGGACAAGTCCTTCCCTGCCCGCTGTGTGAGACTGCTCCTTCTTCTGGGGCGCTGAGGGGAACTCCTCTACATGCCGCTGCAGCTATTCTAGTGTGCACACTGCATATCACTCTACACTGTCACATCATGCATCCAATCCATTTACTCATACCGCCCACACACATGGCCCAGTCATAGTTCTGAGATGCACATTTAATTGCCGAACACTCTTTGCATAAGATTCTCTTTATCGCCTTTACTGGACCAAAGATACCTCTTCCAGAGAGCACTTGAGCCCAGCCTCCCTGCTTGAGCTATTTTGGACCAAACTATGGTTAGCCAGCCCTGAGGTGTGGGTGAGTGCTAGTTTGAAGTTCAAATTCCCAGAGGTTTCCCACCTCAGTCGTGTTATCATTGTCCCCAGTTGCAGGGCAGAGTGTGTATGAGTCTTGGCCCATTTTCTGTTCAATACCCAGATACCATGGACAGCATGATTGATAAAGAACAGAGGCTTGTTTAGCTCTTAGTTCTGGAGGTCCAAAGTCAAGGGGCTGTTTCTGATTATGACTTCTAAATGGTGGGACTCTGCAGAGTCCCAAGGCTGTGCAGGGAGTCACAGGGAAAGACAGAGCAGGTAGACCCCTCTGACAAGGTCACCAGTGCAATTGCGGGGGTCTGTCCTCATGCTCTGGTCTGGTACCCATTTCTTCCTTTGGGTGCCCGCTCTAGACACCATATTTAGATATGTTTCCACCCCCTTCTTTATTTAGACATGCACCCCAGGCTGGCCTGGAACTCAATAAACATCCCATCCCCGGAACACAGCATCCTCCAGTTCCGGCCTCGGGCTTGGCCTCCTGGGGGCCGGGATTACAGGTGTACACCACCTCTTCAGTTTCTGCCCTCTTAGTATTTCACAATTAGAGTTCAAAGTGAGGGCATTCAAATCATGGCAAAAGTTTTGACTCAACCAGTGTTGAGTCTTACAGTGTGAATCCAGTTCTTTGGTTACTCAGCTTTTTTTCCTTGAATTTTCTATTTAGCTCTCTACATAGCACTGTTTTGTTGGTTGTATTTTACTGAGTATATTTTAGACTTGAAATAGCTTACAAATCACCACAACAGACACAGCTTTGTCACTGGTGCTTTAATTTTCCATAAGATCTGCTTTTCAAGGAGCCCAGTATTTCCCACTTGCAAGTTCTTCCTGGAAGGCTTTCTGTCTGCTTCCTTCTGAAGACCTTCATGGGACCATTATGGTAGTTGCCACAAGGGGTCGCTGTTGATCATGATTTGGGTGCAGTTTCATGAATGCCTTCCTTGGAAGACCTAACTCTTCCTACACCAGATAGATCAGCACAGGACCAGTGGTGCCTTGGTCTCTTGGTTCACTCACTCTAAATTCTGCAGCTGGTTAAGTCTCCAAACCAAACTGTCCCATCAGCTTGGATCATTAGTGCAGCTCCCCTTTCACAATGAAGTTCGAGTTTGTCTTCTCCTGAGAGTAGGCTTCATCAAGAGCACCCCAAGCTATCAGAGAGGTTCCATGGGCACTGACTCTCAAAGGGGGGGCTGTTAAGGATTCCTTTACTTCCCCAAAGCCCATCCCTTATCTCATTCCACTTCCTTCTCTGTGTGTACAGATCCCGAGGAAGCTAAGGCACCCCTGGGCAATGTGGCTGGACATCCCTACTGGCAACTTCATTTGCAAACACCACAGGGTCTTGGACTTGTGTGGCTTTCTGAACCAATATTTTTTTCTCTTCCCTCCCTCCCTCCTTCCCTCCCTCCCTTCCTCCCTGCCCCCCTCTTTCTTTTTTTGAGTCTCTTTTTTGAGTCTCTTTTTTTGAGACTCACTTTTCTTTTTAGCCTAGATTGGTCTTAAACTTGTGATTCTCCTGCCTCAGCCTCCCTACTTGAACTACCACACCTAAGTCCACAACATCTTTTTGCCCTTCAAAGAATCATACAGTTGCCACCCTGGGGTAGGCTGGAGGACAGGTTTCCCTTGAGCACTGAGTGGGTGACACTAATGGAGGGAGCTAGGACTCTGGGCTAATGGGTGGAAACTACCGCAACTGATGCTGAGGAAATAGGAGCAATGGGGAGATCAGCGGGAGAGGGCAGCTTTGAGGAAGTGCATTGCACATTTGTGCATGATGAGCCTGCAAATTTCTCCCCTGACTGCTTACAAAAACAGGCACTTTTTTTTATTTTAGTATTAGAGATTGAATCAAAGGCGTCTCATATGCTTGGCAAGCATTCTGCCATTGAGCTACATTCTCAGAGCTCTTTATTTTGAGACAGTCTCACTACATTGTCCAGGCTGGCCTTGAACTCCTTCTTTGTGGTAGGCAAAGAATCCCTATTCCGAGATGCCAAGGTCCATAGTACCTGCAAAGTTTTGACAGCTAAGCTTGTGGGTTCAGGGTTCAGAGAACCTTACACCCAAGGGGCACAAGATGGCTCTTCTAGGGGGTCGCAGGAGCCCCTCTCCTTCGCAGAGGGGCTTGTCCAAAGCTGCTGAGCAAAACCCACCCGCGATGGCCCCAAGCAGCCCGCCACCCAGCGATGGTGACTCAGGTCTCTGTCCAGCCTGTTTGCCAGGGAACCTGCCAGGACGGCTCAGGACAGATACTCTCGCACCGTGAGCTCCTTCAGGGTGAAGCCCCTGTGCGTGGGTCTCCGGAGCTGGCTGTCATCCAGCCTGCTCTGCAAGGACGCGAAGTCCTTGCCCAGCGCATAGGCCAAGCGCACCATGG